ATGATCCTCGCAAACTTTTTCATCCATAAAATTTGTCCCTCCTGTTAATTTTTAGAGACGAAGGCTGACGTGACATATTATATGGATTTTTTTGATGACGTGGCATACATATGACAATGACAGCGTGTCAAAAAATACTAACATGAATGTCACATGTCAATTATCTCCGACCAACATTGTGTTTCATAGACATTATTTAAAAACATTCACTTCACTTGTAAAAGTAAATTATTATTATGTACGCATATAACGCACAGAAATCCGCTCCTGGATGGGGCTCCTACATGAAGGACAATCTTGCATACCTTGTTTTTCATGGAGCTCATTGCATTTTGGGTAAATCTAAGCACGTGGAAGGAATACGACAGACATCTTCTCCGAAAGACACATCACGCACTCTCTTTCCCGTTTCATGCCTCCTCCTGTCATAGAGAAGCTATTTAACTTTTGAACCAGTTCTAAAATAGATGTGGTCTGGGGTTCATCAAGAGCTGAACCCTTTTTCATGTCCTTCCAGCTATCTGCATAGCTTCCATCGATTCCTCTTTTAGAGCAACAATTTTTGAAGAATCTGATTTCTGTCATATTTGTGCTACTTTTTTTTCAAGTTTCTGGATGTCATCTTTGTACCTTTGCAGTTCTGCCTCCGCTTCTAATTTGATCATCTCCTCCTTAGCTCAGTTTGTTCTCGTTCTTTTTTTTTAGAGAACTGATCGGCGAGAGAAGTCTTCAGTTTTCTTTGTTGCCTGCCGTCGTTTAGCATGTCGTATTTTTCCTTTACAATGAGAACAGGTCCAGCAACAAAAACTCAATAAGCACTCACAGACTTAACGTGTTTACATTTGACATAATGATATTTATTACCCACTCATTCAACATGGAAATGATATTAACTATTAAGCCATGCATTTGAATCACTTATACATATCAGTGCATATATCGATCCAAATTTATTTAATTTAAATAAGAGCGCAAAATGAGAGGGTGAAAGTTTGGAAATTTTCAGATACTTTTCAGTCAGAATAAAACAGGATATAGTATATTGAAGAAAAAAAGAGAACAGATAGGAATACCATCCATGTTGATTTTAACAAACAAACCTTTACTACCATAGTTGTTGTCAATAGGTTTTTTACCATCAACAACCTTGTTTTGATGTTGTGTCTGAGGTTCAGTTTGTGATGTTGGTTTAGAATTGTTGCTTGTTGTTGTTGCAAGATTCTTCCTGAATATCAAAAATAATATTAAGAAAATGTAAAACATGCAGCCCCTAACATGGTCGGCTTATACTGCTAAAATCATGTAAATATTCTAGAGGTGGCAATGAAATCCATTTAGATAATATTCATCCAATAATTCATTCATCAAATCCATCCATAAGACAAAGAATAATTTAATAGATTTGATCTAATTCATCCACTAACTCATATAGATGGATTCAATCCATCCATCTCATTTTATAAATCCATTAGATATTATGTTGTTACTTATTAAATTAAGAATTTTTTAATTGATTTTTTGGATGGATGGATATTCATCCATTAGAAATATGTTAATGGATGGATTGAATGGATTTTATCTTTTAATGGATGGATTGGATTGAATTTTTATTAAGAGAGTTTAGTGGATTGTTAATGGATTAATAGATTGCTTTGATCCATCCATTAACAATCCAATCCATATCCATCAAATTCATTCATTTTGCCACCCCTAAAATATTCTCATCAGAATAACAAGGTTGATAAATTTTTATTGCTACAATCATGTAAATCATGTAAATATTCATTCAATATTACCAAGGGTGTCTGGACAATAAAATCAGTCTCGCCCTTGACATAAGCGTGGAAATTTTGATCAGCCTTATACATGACAGGATCTCTTCCATTATATGTACACATCTTTAAAGGCTCACCACCCTACACCAAAATCTATTAGAACTTTTCTCTATGTGCAAAATTATTGGTTGTTGAACTGATAAACATTGAGGGGCTACTCTGGTTCAATTATGATAATGATAGATTTTCTATAAAAAAATATTGATAAAATTTTTAAAATTAGCTTGGAATTTGCTACAAATTATGGGTTTATAAATATAAAAAATAAAAATAAAAGAAATTGTCCCCACACTGATGTTGTCTTGTGCATGTCCAGTCATAAAAAAGTTTCACGTGACATGTCACGTCAACTTCTATTAACAGCCGTTAGCAAAAGGGATCAAAAGTGCGGATGAAAAATATTATAAGGATGATTATTTGAAGAAAAATTTTAGAGGGACTAAAAATGAAAATGATTCTATTTAGAGAGATTAAAAACATATTTAATCCTTAATAATTTAATTAATGCATTTATATTTGATTTGTATTTTATTATTTGAAATATTAAAAATATATGTTTGAAATTTCTAAGATTATTTTTAATTATCATTTCTAATGTTCAAAGATACTACAAGTTTGGAAAAATAAACAATTTCAATTTTTAAAAAATGATTTTGATGTAGGAATAGGATGGAGCAGGGATATACGAATCAATTTGAGATAGGTTTTGGGTTCAATTATTAATTCTCGTTTGATTTTAAGGCGGAGAACGTATATTTTTCTAAGATTTGAGTTTAGGTACATGATAGATAAAACTTCTCTCCTCCCCGTTGGCAATGCCTATGTTCATGAGCATGAACGGATGCAAGTGAAGGCATAATATGGCTTTAGCATCGCCAAAATTTTTGTTTATATATATATATATATATATATATATATATATATATATATATATATATATATATATATATATATATTCTAGATCAGTTATATTGGTCTTTGGCTTACCACTCTAAAGGAGCTCCGATCTTTCAAGAATTTTTTCAACACACAGAGAGTTACTCTACAGAAAAATACAGGTGATCCAAACTCAAATCTATCAAATGGCTCTCTGCGATTAACGCTTAACAAATAACGGTTTGATATTTCCCTTCTACTATATAGAGCAATTCACCACCAACGATACCTCAGACAGGGTGGACATAGAGATTATACCTTCGAAAACTATCTTTGATGATGAGACGAAGATTCTCAAGTCTAAATCCTATCAAACGAGCCTTGCTTAAAAGTAACACGTGTCAGGCCTTGGGGTAACATAAGCCCGCCTAAGGAACGTGGCAAGGCCGTAATGCTTTTGATCTCTCGGGAGTTATATGACTGAATGGTACGCTAACGGCTAGGAACAAACCATACTTAAGCGCTTAGCCCCTTTTGTCCTCACGTTTGTGGGACTATGTACATTCAGGATGTCTTCTCAAACAAGTACCTTCTAAAACCCCGAGAATGACCGTGGCTGGACATAAAACAGAGCATCCTGGGAAGTATCTCGAACGCAGAATCTAGGAACCATATAGGTTCACCAGACAATAACCCGACTAATTACTTGAAGACGGGCCCGAGAAGGTTATGCACGATTCCTGCTCGACCAGACCGATCGACAACCATATCAATATATTCAATACCTTTTATGACCTCTAAGACAGCAGTTGAACCATCCATTTATTCCATCAAAGTGAGGCATTATAAATGGTGGATCCCTTAGATGGGAAGGCAACCAATCTTAGTGAGAAAAAGACTTATATACTACGACATTTTCCAACTATCATTGGAGAATATAATCTTAGTGAGAAAAAGACTTATACACTACGACCTTTCTCGACTATCATTGTAGAATATATATATATATATATATATATATATATATATATATATATATATATATATATATATATATATATATATATATATATATATATATATATATATATATATATATATATATATATATATATATATATATATATATATATATACTGTGAAAAGAAAGACAAAAAAAATCAGAATTGGTTTTTCTCTCTCTCATATTCCTTTTCATCTCCCGCTAACCCTCTCCCATATTCACCAAATTTCATTTTTTTTTTTCTAAATCTTTCAACAATTAAGATGCATGCTTATTTCTCACTCAAATCCTCAATACAATAAGAAAAAAGAATTAAAATTAAGTCATACTCCCTATTTTTTCTCTCTTCAATTTTCCACTTGGCTTGGTTGCATTTATAGGTAATTGAAAATCTAAGCAAAAAGGACTTTCAAATCATGGTGTCAAATCTATGAAAACAACTAAATACAACACATTTGATATGGTTTATGTACTTCTGAAGTTTACTTTCATTAATGGTTAAATGGCCATCTTATAACTTTAACGATGTTATTTTAACTCATTTTCAAAAAATGAATGTTAGATGATTTTTATTCTAATTGTATTAGATTAAACAATATTATTTCTTATTTTTAGTACAATTTAGATGTTATTTTAACTCCTTTTCAAAAAATGAATGCTATTTTAACTCATTTTCAAAAAATGAATGTTAGATGTTAGTACTATTTTTAGTATTATATCTAATTGATTTTTTTTTCATGTTTAGTCATATCAATATGTAATGACTGGATCCGCTTTGTTCATGAGCATGTGGACTCTTCACTCTTCATGAGGACCACAGCCACAGAATTATTGCATTCCAATCATATTCTTAGGAATGTAATTTTAAAAATAAAAAAAAAAATGCTCTTATAAATATTATAAAAAAAGTGTTTCCCAGAATGATAAATCATTATAATTTTATAAATATAGGCAATACCTGATTAAAATTGATGGATTAATCATACTCAACACAATGAAAAACTATTGCGCAAAAACTCAAACATCTGCCTCAGTGAATGTTCATTTCATAAAAAAAAAAAACAGAATCGATTACACACATACGCTAACAACACTAGACACAATGAAGAAGGTGAGAAAGATGCAATAGAATCATGGAGAAAGTAGTGAGACCTCAATTATTTAGGACTATAAGGGACCTGCGGTGCATTAAGCACTATGTTACTCTCATGATTCTTCTACTTGTTTTTTGCTTCACCAAAGTATAGGACACAAGATCAAACATACTCTGCTACATTGCTAATTCTCTACGCCTTATTCACACGGATTTTTTTACCTTCTAACAACTGCAGTCAACATGTCAACAAACAAATTAGTCAGCATTGTTGTATTTAGAAGCAAACTAATCACTCACTAATTAACCAAATTATTTTCAATCAATAAATTCAATCCCATTGAACAACATATCAACAGACCATGAGAGGACATTTAAATAATGTTAAAAAAGATTGGAGATAGGAGACCTATATTACAAGATATCAATATGTACATCTGAGAAAGCCTGAGGAAAATTACCGCAATCAAGTAAGCATGCATAAGTAAGCATGACCAAAGGATACAGCGAATGTTTACAAGTGAACTCGATAATGGAAAATAAGTAAGCTATTGTGCTTTTGCCAATGTTAGATATTAGAATATTTTAAGATGGCTGGCTCGTAACTAAAGATCACTGCTGCATACCAACCAAAACAGAAGTAGTCAATAGTTGATAGGAAACTTGCCTACGCTTTTGACAGGTTCTAACAAGAAGCAATGGCCTCCCTGCCTTCCTTGGGCAGAATTCTGGTTTAATCCTAATCTCAACATTTTAACAAGATGCCTTCTTTTAAGGCTTTTGTATGGACAAGACACTTTTGTTAGTAAATGGAACTACAGTATCATCTAAAATTTGAGGAACCGAACATGCTAACTTATTAGAGAGACACTTTACTAGTTGATTTAAGAGCTAATTTGTTAAAAACTCAAGATCATTTGAGGAAACATGCCAAAAAAAAGAGCTGGGAAGTCACTTTAGAGAAGTAGCTCTCCACTACCTGCCGGTGCCAAGAACTTGAAGAATATAAGAATGTGTTAATTTGCAAATAAACAAGAAGGGCAGCTAACAACTTACAGCGTTGTTGAAAGAAGAGATGGCAGCTTCTACATCCTCATCTGATGAAAATGAAACAAAACCAAAACCGCTGGATTTTGAGGTCCCAGGAACCAGTGAAACCTTGGCACTGAGAACGTTTCCTTTTTCAGAGAAGAAATTTTTAAGGGTATCAGATGTTACATTTTTAGCCAGATTTCCTACATATATCTTGTAGGGACTGTCAATTAATTGGGATTCCTCGCCCGGAAGTGACAAATCTCCTGTTGTTATTAAAGGCTTTTCGGTTATATTCACTTTAATCTCACGCCCTCCAATTTGCTGTCAAAAAAAAAACGAAGTTCATAAGTCCTTTAAGAAACCTAGATTATTGAATGAACATTAGTAATCTTTTAATGTATTTTGTAAATTCAGCAGTAAAAACTTACGGTGCCATTGAGTTTCTCAACTGCTGCGTTTGCATCCTCAACGGTTTTCATTGTAACAAATGCAAAGCGACGGCTCCTTTTAGAGTATTTATCATACATGACCTATGAATAAAAAAGCATACAGAAAATTTAGCATGACTCCTCATTATTTGTTGTATATAAAATGATAAAACATACAAGAAAGTTGAAGTTGTTTAACTACTTATTAAAAGTATACACAATGCCCCTATCAACTCTAATCCCTATGTTATAAATTCAACATTTATTCTATGCAAGTCATGTGTACGAAATTCTAAATTCTGCCGTTTTCATATAAATGCAAATTGCAAATGAAAGATAACATGATGCTAGCAAATATTATTGCAATTAGATTTCTATAATGTACATCTTGAAGACATGAACTGAACCACGCTGTTTCTGATGTGAAACCAAGCGTCACTCCCGCACCATTAACGTGCGACCGTCACTGGCCTCAGCGTGGCAGCATCGGTGCGATTGTGTTGTAAAATGCCGCTATTGTCTACATTGATATTGTCTTGCAGACCAGAAGGGATAAATAACCATAAACTTAAAACAGGCAAGCTTCTTGTACTTTCTACCAAAGCAAGGTTATCCATAAAAGTAGTAGCAGAAACACATCATATCCACCTAAATATAAAGAACCAACTCAAAACAGTTTCCCAGTTATATGCATCTTTACATGGCTACATGAATGCAGGTACAATAACATCATGGCACAAGTTTTCTATAAAATCTATGGTGTAAAATGTCCAAATAATAATATAACAATATGGATACATAATATGTAACACGAAAGGATAATAAATTGTTCAGCCAGACAACGAAACTTCAAAAAACTAAGTTCATTTAAATTAGAAAACATACCAACTTCCTCAATTAAAAATCAATAAAGAAAGGTCCTAACTAAGGTTTTAAAAAACGGTTTGTTACCGCAAAAATGGCTGCAACAAAACAATATAGGAAGGTTCCGATACTGATATTGTTATTCACATGGCGACGACCGCAATCAGTGTCGCGACACCTGTACCGACTAAAATCGCAAAGGCCTTTACTCGACCGCAGCACAACCGTTATTTATAACCTTTTTCTAGCACCAAAGTTGGATATAGGATGGAAAATATGACCTCTCCCCTCAAAGAAACCGGTATTTAAGTGAATCCAGACACACACTTCAGTGTCAAACATTCCATATCCCCCTAAACCAAACGGCTGCCACACCCACACCACCAATACCATTTTCAAATTCACTTAAATAATAAGAAAACACCATATCTAAATCCATTGGTTCTTTCTCTTAATTTTCAATTTCAAATTAGTCTTTCACCTTTATTCATATCAATGTTCTAAACTTCAATAATATTTTCTTAATTAGCTTGTTTTTTTTGCCTCCTAATGCATCATTTTGGATCATAAATTGTTTCACAATTGATGAGAATACATTTACATCTCTTCCAACAGTTTCTCTATTAACATTTCCAAGTAATTACACATTCAAAACTTCTAATTATCAAATATCACCCAAACAAATTCCATTTCGCAACACAAACCTTTCATAAAATTCACCCAAACATAAATCCCTTTCAACAAACCTAATTTCACAAAATTCTAACTTTCCAACACAAAATTTGAACGAAAACTACCTCAGCCTTTTCTACAGCACCATGTTCTTGAACAATCTGAGCAAGTTCATCATTATCAACAGTACGAGGAATGTTACCAATATAGAGCTTTCTTTCCAATGGAGACGTCGCCGTTGCTTGTTCAGAAACCGTTACGTATCTCCTAAAGCGACGTGTGAGAGAAGAAGGTGCCGATTGAAAGAACAGTGTCGTTTTGGGTTTCAAGTTATTACAGTTTGGTGGTTGTGTAGTGAGGAAAAGGAAATTGGGTTGTGAGAGAAGAGAAAGAGAAGACATTGTTGTGGATAGATGGAGTTTGATGAGGATTTGAGGAAGTAAGTGTGAAGGGTGGTTTTGGTTTTTAGCTTGGAAAGTTTAAAGGTTTATCTTGTTATCTTGGTGGTGGTGGCGGGGTTGGGAGTTGGAGATGAATTTTTTATTTCTCTTTAGGAAATGGAAATGGGTTTTTGGATATAAGACAAATGTTTGTTGGGTCGGGTTGACCGTTTATCATATCCAAAATAAAATAAATTAATTAATTAGGATCGTTTAAGGTTTGTACGCGGATTAAAATATTTAATAATATTGTCGTAAAACATTACAACATTACATTTTTATTAAATTAATTTTATTAATATATTGAAAGTATTATACGGAGTAATCTTTAAAAGACATAATTAAAAAAATAACAATAATTTAAAATAATTTTTTTTCTAAAATGACAAACATTTTTAAACTGAGGAAGTATAATAATAATGATGATAATAATAAAGTTTAAATGGATTTTTATCATTTACTTAGGTGTTTTTAACTTTTCGTTCTCTCTATTTTAAAATTCAATTTTTTAATCTCTCAATTTTACTTTTCTTGAAAAAAATTTGACTCCCTCTACACATGTGGCGATGATGTAGAATTAATGACTATGATAAAAATTAAAATAAAAATACTAATTAGTATCCATGTCATTCATTTTGAAAGGAAAGAACAAAAAATTATGTTCAGTGTAATTTAGTTGAAGTAGACATGACTGATGGAAAATACACTTTGAAAAGGCCTTGTATTGATAAACGAATGGGTTATCGCAAGCTGGATAAGACTTTGATTGACGTGGCTTGGCGAATGGTTTTTCCTGATGCATATGTTAAGGTGTTTTGTAAATTTCATTCTGATCACAACCATATTTTCCTTAGGTGTGGCATTCCTCTCCAAGACCACGGGTCGTGTCCTTTTAGGTTTAAGGTAGCTTGGATCACTTACCCAAAATACTCAAATATAGTTCAAACTGCCTGGAGGAAATCTACAAATGACATTGTAACTTGTCTCCAAAGTGTGCATCATCATTCTAACCTTTTTAAGCAAGAGTGTATTTGTGAGTGAAGAGTTATGTTCTTTATGTGTGTAGGAGTCTTAGGATTCCTTATAGGCCAAGCAATTGTATGTTGTATGATTGCTCTGGTTTAGTGTGTATGAACTGTTGTGTTCATTGTGCCACTCAATGCTTTTAAGCAAGAGTGTTGTGTCTCTTGATCAAAGTTGTGAAGCAAGATCAAGGTGTGTTTGAAGAGTGTCTTCATATTGTAATTGTGAATTGTTTATCACTGCGGTGATTGAGGGGGAGTGAGCGGGGTCTCTTGTCTAGTGGATTCTAGGCAGAAGTGTCATTGGGTAGGTCTTAAGTGAAGAGTGCAAACGGGTTGTTTGACTCTGAATTAATTCTACTAATAGTGAATTTCCTCCCTGGCTTGGTGCCCCCAGATGTAGGTGAGGTTGCACCGAACTGGGTAAATAATTCATTGTGTTATTTATCTTTCAGCATTTACAATTCTGCATAATTTAAATGGTTAGATAAATAGTCTGTCTGTCTGCTGATGTCACAACAGACGCCATGACATTGGTCATGACATTGGTACAATTTAAAATAATTTAAATTGGTCATGGTCTGTCCTCGTCCTTGTTGAGCAAAGATCAATGTTCTTGAGACATATGAGATCTGCATACCAGAATTTCACCCTCTTTCCTATTAAGCATGCAAACTTTTATATTACAACACCCATTCAAATTAAACAACCTAGAAGGTTCCCATCGAGTATGATGGATGTGAGGGGGTTCTAACACCTTCCCCTTGCATAACCGACTCCCGAACCCTAAGACTTGGTTGCGATGATCATGCTCTTTTCCTAAAGGTTTTATCGTTATTTCCCTTTACCTCCTTAGGATAAATAAAATTCGGTGGTGACTCTGTGTCATTTTTCGCGTAGCGACAAGGTTCTTGCAAATGGTTTGTGTAGTCATGTGACCCCCATAGAGGACCCTCAAGGTGTACATTGAGCTTTTGGACCATGTCTCATCCAAGGAGATAGCTACATGTGCCTCTAATCACCTTCAAGATGGAAGGAGATAACCAAACACTTGCTCTCTCACTTCAAGAAGCTTTGAGACCAACTCTGATGATAGTGAAGACTTGGTGACTTGAAAATGTACCCTTGCCTGAGCTTTGAACATGAAGCTTCTTCGTTGAGTAGTAAATACAACATCTTGATCCCCTGTCTAGAACCAATGTTATGCATAAGTGCTAATGCAAGATGCTATGAAACAAAAGCCAAGATAGAAGAAAAGGTTGAGCAAATTTTGGGGTGCTACACGGCTCCATCAAATATTAGTCCCTACCGAGATCTTGGCTCTGGTCCTTCACTTGGTAAAGGTTCATCACAGTCTTTCATATTCAGATACATTACGTCTTCATCTAGGAAGTCAAATTTGATAGGTTCATAGTCATCAATTGGTTGGTGAGCCAAATGATCAGCTCGAATGCTTCCTTTGACAACTTTCTGCGCATGGTGTTCGATATCATACTCTGACAACAACATTTGCCAGCGAGAAATCCTTCCGGTTAAAGCGAGTTTTTCAAAGATATACTTGATCTGGTCCATTTTGGAGATCAACCAAGTAGTATGACAAATCATGTATTGGCGGAGACGCTTGGCAGCTCAAGCCAAGGCACAACAAGTTTTTTCAAGCACAATGTAACGAGATTCACAGTCCATGAACTTCTTAATTAAGTAATAAATAGCATGCTCTTTTTTCTTAGTCTCATCTTGTTGGCCAAGCATACAGCCCATGGGATCATCCAACATTATTAAGTATATGATCAAAGGTCTTCCTTCCACTAGAGGGGTCAGAATGGGAGATTCAAGTAGATATTCTTTGATGTTGTCGAAGGCCTTCTGGAAATCTTCTGTCCATATACAAGTAGCGGTCATATGAGAGATGAATCTGGATATGTAATTTAATCGACCCAAAAATCCTCTTACTTGCTTCTCAGTATTGAGTGCTTGCATTTCTTAGATGGCTTTGACTTTATCAGGATAAACTTATATTCCCTTCTGGCTGATAATGAAACCCAAGAGCTTCCTTGAATGAACATCGAATGTACATTTGTTAGGATTCAAGTGGAGATTGTATTTTCTATAACGCTCGAATAACTTTAATAGATATTCCACATGTTCTTCTTCAGTTTTGGACTTAGAAATCATATCATCGATATATACTTCAATTTCTTTATGCATTATGTCATGGAAAAGAGTTGTCATGGATCTTCGGTAGGTTGCACCGAAATTATTTAGAAGAAATGGCATCACTTTGTAGAAAAATGATCCCCAGGGTGTAATGAATGAGGTCTTTTCCATGTCTTCAGGTGCCATTCTGATTTGATTATATCCGGAGAATCCGTCCATGAAGGAGAATACTTTAAATTTTACGATGTTGTCAACTAAAATGTCAATATGTGGTAATGGGAAGTCATCTTTTGGACTAGATTTGCTCAAATCTTGGTAGTCCACACACATTCTGACTTTTCTATCCTTTTTCGGAATAGGCACTATGTTGGCCAACCACTGAGGGTATTCTGCCGTGGCGAGGAACCCTGCATCGATATGCTTTTGCACTTCTTCTTTAACTTTGATGGCCATATATGGGCGAGTCCTTCTTATTTATGTTTGATTGGCGGACATTCTGGTTTCAGTGGCAAGTGGTGCTCCACAATATCGGTGTTCAAACTTGGCATATCTTGGTAGGACCAAGCAAACACATCTGGGAATTCTTTGAGAAGTTCAACCATTTTTATTTTAACGATTGGACTAAGCAGTACCCCAATCTTGACCTTTTTTCTGTTTTCATCAAAACCGAGGTTGATTATTTCTATAAGCTCTTTGTATGGTTGAATGGAGGCTTCTTCTTGCTTAAGCAGTCGGGAGATTTCATCCGGAACTTCTTCCTCTTCTTCATCTTCAGCTTCGAATACTGGGAACTCAAAGTTGGGAGAGGGCATAGGGTCATGTTTTTCAATGAGGTTTTTGATGTTTAATCTTCATATATGACTGATGCTGGTTTTTAGAAAGACAGATAAATGCAGAGTGTGTAGATATCGAAAGTGTTTATTACCATTTTTTTCTTTTTTTAGGTTACCATTTTCCGAAAAAGCAAAAAGTAAAAAACACTAGAAGGAGTTTAAAACAACATCTTTATTATTTATTGATTATTTCTTGAAACAAAAGCCCGACAAACAAATTATTTGCCTTAGGCAGATTAAAGAAGACATTTTTAAAAGAGGGTCCCTAAAAACATCTCTCATTTTGGGCATAGCGAGAGGACAAAACAAAGACAAAGCATTACTTAGAGATGTGGACAACAGTTGGAACATCAACAACTATCCAGTTTTGAAGAACCTTTCAATTGGTCACAAAGTCTTGAGAATCCCTCTCAGGATTGTCTTCAATAATGGCATTGACTTCTAGAAAACTTAGGTTAGTAAAACTTTTCACTTTTTCAGATAGGGCAAAGAGAAGGTCTTCAACTGTCTTTTCAACGGATTGCGGGGTGTGGAATGGTACATGGGTATCCTCAGGAGACATGTATGTGGGATATTTCCAGTATGGTTCCCATTCTTCTTTCTTTGGCATATAGAATGTAGCTTCGTACCCAGAGGACTTATTTACTTCTTTAAGCTTATTTTTGGATGGTGGATCGACATGGACTGTGGCAGCTCTATAAAGTTGTGAGGCGTGCCCCAAGGATGACCACATAACCTTTGGAGAACTCCTGGAGGTGCCATGTAAATGGATGGATTCTCTTCAGAATCATGTTCAATAATGACATTCACTTCATGGATAAAATCCCTTTCAGCAATTTTTCTAGATTTATCTAAAAGGTGAGTCTCAACTGCTTTTTCGATGGGTTGAATAGTGTAGAATGGTATGTAGACATCCTCTGGCTGGCTATCATACTCAGGAGTTTCTAAA